GTTTGATAATTGTAACGGGTCAAATCGGGTAACTATTATTGACGAATTAGGTAACTGAAACTAGCGACGGCAGATCACTGGCGGGATGAGTCACTGATGGATTTTGGTAGTCACCATCACTATCGTTAGCACTTAGCAGTTCTCACTGGAGCGATAGTAACTGAGATGGTGGTCACTCGAATGATAGAAACTAGGACGGTGGTCACTGGAGCGGTAGTAGCTGGGAAACTGAGACAGTGGTCATTGGAGCGGCGGTAGTTAGAAATGGCAATTTCGGCCGACCCGTTGGATACCCGCATCGAACCGATTTGGTCAAACTGGAGAAAACCGGTTTGATTGGGGAATGGGTACGGGGCGGGGAATACCCAAATTTTTGAAATGGTTAATGGTGCGGTTATGGTTCTATACTAATCCGCCCTGTTATCCGCCCCGAAACCGCCCTTTTCACTAATGGTGCGGGTACCCGCACCGTTACCCGATCCATAACATTATTAATGAATTATTACTTTTTATATATAAGAATAATAAGTATATATGCTAAATTGTGTATACTAAATAGTACAATATATATCATATAAATAATGCTAAAAAATATACTACTTTTTAATTTAGGCCTAAAACTAAATATATGCCTAAACTTGTTTTTGGAATTTGGATTCTAGGATGATTACTACTTTTTTATTATGTTACAAGAGATATTAGGTGAATGTCATACTAATAAATTTAGGCCAGTCTGCTTGATTGCTTAAATATTTACTTTTGTAAGTTTTAGGGTGCTTTGAATATATAAATAACAAGTAGGATTAAGAATTGGTTATTTGTTTTTTAAAAATGATTATTTGGTATCATTTGGGGCGGGTACGGTTCAAATAAAAATTATCCGAATGGGTAATGGGGCGGTTTTGGGGCAAACATTTATCCAACGGGGCGGTTTCGGTTTAATGTGTACCCGTCCCTGATCCGCCCCGTTGTCATCACTAGCGGTAGTAATTGGAATGATGGTCACTGGAGCGGCGGTAGTAACTGGAATGGTGGTCACAGGAACACTGGTAGTAACTGAGACAATATTCACATTAATTTTTGTGTAATAATTTAAATATTTAAGTCTTCTAAATTTACATCCAAATACTTCGTACTCCGTATCTATTATTGGAAATAATTTTAAAATAGAATAAAAAATTAATTGCTAGAGAATGCAATGACATTGATAAGTAGTGCACTGTACGGAAATTTTGCGGCTTAGTTATATGCCTGCAGCGGTCAACCAGGGGAAGGGTAATTTAGAGAATTAGGTGTTTATTAGCCACATTTTTGGAAAATTTGAAAAAAGGTCTCTTTTTTTCCATTGCATATTTTTTAGTAATATTCATGTCAAAACCCCCAAAAATAAACTTCAAATTTATTTATCTTACATCGAAATGTTTGACTTTTTAAATTAATATGATTATTCATAAAAAAGTATTTTTTAAAAATATTAATTTTAATAATAAAAGTAAGTCTCGTATTTCAATTGGATTGATGAAACGAATATGCAATTCTCGTGTTAAATGTAAATTGATTTAGTTTATTAAGGAAGCATAATTGCGGATTGTAGCCTATGAATATTTTAAAGGTTAACACAGCCGATGACTTGTTTTTAAATATAATAAACAATTTGCCCAATCAAATCCTTTTCCAGCAAAAACTTCCATTCAAACAACGGCTCAGGTCCACTCCAATTTGAAAAATGGTTAGATTTTGTGTGTGAAATTTTATTTGAAAAGGTTTTTTTTGTATCAATTTACCCAACTTTTGCAGCTGGCTACAGCTGCATTCGAGCATGTGCTTGACAGTAGTTCTCCGTTCCTAGCTCTCTCCTAAATATTCATGACCTTATAAAAATTACTTCCCCTCCAATAAAACATGGCCAATTTAAACTTGCACGTAAAATAATGTTATTTATATAAAATAAAATCTGAGGTTAAGATTAGTTTGTGCAAAAAAAAATTAATCATACATTTTTTCTTTAAATAAAATTGATAAATTATTTTTAGACAGAAAAATAATGAAATTTGACAAAATCTTATAGACGGATGGAGTAAATGTGATCTTGGGAGATGATGGGATGAGCTAGGTTGCAGTTCAGTGGATACAAAGAACATGACTCATATGGCCTCATTCTAGAGAACTCTATAGCGTAATTTGTCTATCCTGTTTTTGTTTAGTTTTTTTGGAATTGGTCAAAATGGGAATAAAATGTAGAAAAAAAACTATAATAGGATTAAGTAAGTTTTATCATAGTCACTACATTATAGTAACTTACATTATAGTAACTTTGAACATAATTATAATCACTAAAAGTTACCAAGTCACATTTTTATCCATCACTTTTTCACGAGTAATATTAGTGAAATTTGTTCTTATATTTATTTTGTTCTAGAATAGTTTTAATTTTTTTATTTCTGGTATAGGTTACTATATTCATAAGAAAAATAGGTATTTCCTTTAAAACTTTTCAATTTTCCAAACTGAAATTGTTTTAATTTGTTTGGCGTTTTTAATTATTATATTTTATTTAATGTATTAAGGGCTAATTTGCTCATTGAGAGGAAAATGAAGGGTATTTTTTCATATTTCAGAATGTTATTAAATGGATTGGTTTTACTGCTTGATCAAAAAAGAAAAAACTTAAAGGCATGTTTACTAACAGAGATATTTTCTAATTTTCTATTTCTGTTTTTCGTTCTCAGAATTTTTGTTTTCATTTTCCTGTTTTTCTATCTCCAATTCTTTGTTTTCATTTTTAGTTTTCCATTTTCAAATCTGAAAACATGATCATCAATTTTTTTCACCCGATTCTGCGACTGACCAGAAAATCAAAAGAACGCTAGCAGTTTGGAACCGAACCTAGTACAACCCAAGTAAGGTACCACGTCCCACGTATATGAAAGTCGGGATCGAAACCGGTTGCTCCCGATCGATCTGAATGGTTGGTTTGACGAATTCTTTTCTCATTTCCCGATTGGTTGACAAATCAACGGTTCTTTTAAAACTGTTCACTTCAAAAATGATTTCAAAAAACCGAGACTGAACCACCATGTCATTGACCGGCCCGATCAGGGACTATTGGGTCATTGATGGGACTAGCCCAAGACCGTCCGATTGTCGAGCAGACCGAACACAGACCCTCGGGTCATTGGCTGGACAAGATAGGGACCACAGGGTCATTGATCGGATAAAACAGGACTGCTGGGTGGTTCACCGGGTAGGACAGAGACCGTCAAGTAGTTGACCATACCGAATGGGGGCTGTCGAGTCATTGACCAGGTGGTTGTGGATCAGACCGAAGAGGGACCATCGGGTCATCGATCGGACTGGACAGGGACCGCCGGGTCGTGGACCGGACCGGGATCGTCGAGTCATCGACCGGACCAGACCGGGATCGTGGAGTCATCGATCGAATCGAATAGAGACCGCTCGGTCGTGGATCGGACCAGAAAGGGACTGCCAGGTCGTGGAACGGATCGAACAGAGATTGCCGAATCATCGACCGGACCGAACTACGACCGTCAGATCGTCGATCGGACTGGACCGGGATTGCTCGATCATCGACCGATCTAATAGGGACCGTGCGTCGGGTCAATACTGGTCCGGACCGCTGGGTCATTGACCAGACCAAATAGGGACCATCGGGTCATTAGCCGGACCGGACTAGAACTGACACCGAAGTATGACCGTGTCCACTACTAGGCGTAAGTATGCAACTCATTGCAGCGGCACTGCAGCATCGACGTTTTCGAAATTTGGAAAAATAGTAAAAGTCACTTCTCCAATTCATTAAGGAAAACAGAGACATATCTTAATCTTTTGGTTTTGGAAAACGTTATGGTAAACGCATTTCTCTATTTTCTTTTCTCCAGTTTTCCAGCAATTTACTTTGGTAAACACGTTTTCTGTTTTCTTTTTTCTAGTTTTCCAGTTTTCTAGAAAATTGGAAAATATCTCTGTTAGTAAACATGGCCTAAATATTTCACATACATGACTTCAAAAGTTGTAAAATACACATAAAAGTTGTAATATACACACAAAAGAAATACTATGTATCAATTTAGACAAGATCAAACCATACTTAACAGAACTAACTATTCTTGGTGTTCACATGACTTGTAAACATTTTGTGTACACACTCCTTGTTCGTTGTCTGTGTAAACAGACAGTTTCATAAAGAATTGCCTGTATACACATCCAACTAGAAAGGGTGTATACAGAAGTGGTAAAATACATATAAAACAGATATATATATCAAATCATATCAGTTTAGATAAGAGCAACCAAACTTAAACAGAACAGATATAATTACAAAATTTCAATTTATTAAAAACAACTTTAAAACTTGAAGGGCATATCTTGATATCCATATGTACTACTCCCTCCGTCCCATAATTATCTTCATTCTTTCCCTTTTGGTCCGTCCCAAATTTATATCCTCTTTCCCTTTTTAGCAAAGGATTTGTGGTTCACAACCATTCTTACACATTTCTCTCTCCTCTGCACAACTTTCCACCACACATTTCCCACTTTCTTAATCTCCGTGCCCAGTCAAAACCGAAGTTAATTCTGGGACGGAGGGAGTACAAAGTTACTAGAGTATTAGGCACATTCCCCTATTTTTCCTTTCAGAAGATCTTTGCATAAAAAATCTTTTGAACAGTCAAAAGCAACAATGATAGTAACCAAGTGGAGGGTTGGGGCAGGGAGGAAGAGACAGTAATACATGTCCAGACATATTCTAGGGCACAGCAACAAAGGGCGTGCCCATCCAGCCAGCTGAATGATGAGTGATTTACTCTCCTCTTATTTCCCCTCTTTTACCCTTTTGGGACGCGTATAAGGACATGGGCAGTCTCCCAAGTTGCTATATAAAGTAATTAAAGAGTAACTAAAGAGTAACTCTCTGACTTCGTACACTGTACCTGCTAGCTAGTAGCTACCCACTATGGTAAAAAAATCATTCGTCCGTATCCCTTAACTTTAATTCTATCCCTTTCTTTCTACCCTCATCATCAGCTATATAAGATAGAATTGAAGATACATAGATCCATACTCCTCCGATCCGTGAAAGAAGGGAAGTTAATATACTCCATTTTCATAAGCTTGAAGATCTGATCTGGTAGTAATATATGTGACATATATATAGCTTTCTTTATTAATTAAATTGATATGTTTATTTATATATATAGTGGTGGGTAGATCGATGGTGAGGGAGAAGATAAATATTAAGAAGATCGACAGCCTAACGGCCCGGCAGGTGACGTTCTCGAAGAGGAGAAGAGGGCTCCTCAAGAAGGCGGAGGAGCTCGCCGTCCTCTGCGACGCCGGCCTCGCTCTCATCATCTTCTCCGCCACCGGAAAGCTCTTCCAATTTGCTAGCTCCAAGTAACCCTTATATCATTCTTTTACTTCTTTCTTTCCTTTATTTAATTTCTTCTTTTTATTAATTTCTTATGTTGATTTATCATATGTTAATAATAATAGTTGTTGTTTTATATACTGCTTATGACTGAGAGCTGACTTGTATCTAATTAATGATACAAATATCGATTTTATGTGAAATAAAATTTGGGGATAATTCGATATTCGTTTTTTTGTAAGTTTGATTGAAGATATTGCATAATGAGGATATGGATATTTAAGTTTTTTTAAAGATAATTTTTGACATGTTTTAATATTTTTTGTGAAGTTATATGAGATTTTTTTTATTACTTTTAACCTTATTAAAATACGTAATATAGATAAAAGTTTCCGAAATTTTCGTGTATTCATTAAGCTTATCAGTATTTTGACATGTTTTAATATTTTGAGAGAATTCTCTAAATAGGAGTAAAAAAGTTTTGAAATACTCCAAAATAGGAGTAAATTTCTCTCAAGTTTGGCATTACTAAGATTTAAACATGGCATTTTCTTTCAAACTTGGCAGATTACTCCTATTTAGTGAATAAAAAACATATACTCCTATATTGGAATTTCAAAACGTTTTTGCTCCTATTTAGGACAATTTCTATAATATTTTCTGTGAAGTTATTTGGTTGATAAATGGCTGCGAATGTTTTTGCCTAGCTATCAATTTTCTTTTATCCTTGACTAATAAATGGATTGACCTATTTAGTTGCATTTCTGGGGGGTTTAAGACATTCACAGTTTGTTAAAAAAACATGTTTCAATATAGCTAGCTTGGGTTTTTTGCCAAAATATAAGTGAAATGGAAATTATGTATACAAATGTGATTACAGTTATTTTAGTATCATTACTTAGGTTAAAATTGAACATTATTATATTAATATATTATATTAATAAAAATTGTTGATATAGTCACGGTAGATATGAGGTTACATTTTATCAATCATCTTTATTTTAGTTTTAAATAAATTATTACAGTATATCATATACAAATTATAAGTAGATAATGCCGTTGCAAAATCAATGAAAGTATATCATATACAAATTATAAGTAGATAATGCCGTTGCAAAATCAATGAAAGTTTGAAAGATATTGAAGTGAAAGATTCCCAATGAAGCCAAGGGTGTTGGCCCCAAATGTTTGCTCTCCATCGCACACTGCCCCTATGAACTTTCTTAAACATAATATTACAAATCATTTGTGAAATTATTATTAATATATACTAGTATATATATAGAGAGGACTGCTCAGGTCCAGCCGGAGGGACGGGAGCAGCCGTCCGAACATCACTGTTTGGGGCGGCTTCCGTGGGAATTTTTTGATGAATTTTTTTGAGCATGTTCTTCGTCAAGTCATGTCTATTCATACCAAATTTCAGCTCAAATACCAAATTTCAGCGCCAAAATATACATATAAAAACACAGTCAACTTCAAAAAAAATGATTTGAATGCCTTCCCGATCGAATTTTGAGCTGAAATTTGGTATGGATAAACTAGACTTGATGAAGAACATGCTAAAAAAAATGCATCAAAAAATTCCACCGGAAACTGTCCCAAACAGTGAAGTTCGGACGACTGCTCCCGTCCCTCCGGCTGGACTTGAGCATTTCTGTATATATATACACGATAGTATATGTATACTATTGTTACTCACTTATATATACTTCCAATATGTTGTTTGAGTTATATTTGTCTACTTTTTATTAACTTATACTTTTGGAGAAACCTTGCGATTGAATGAGATCAGGTTTAAAGATATATGTAATTTATTTTCAGACAAATCAGTGTTGGGTTAATGTGTTATTTTGATAGTCCACCGACCACCGATTAAAGACATTAACGGCCTGTTTGGATTGAGTGTTATGGAGTGTTAGTAATGGAAGTGTTAGTAAGTGTTGATACTAACACTTGTTTGGGAGAAAAATTAAGAGGTGTTAATAAGTGTTAGTAAAGGTTGGGAAGTGTTAATAATAACCTTTACAACACCTCAATTGCCCACTATTGAACACCCCGATTTGGAGTGTTTTGAGGTGTTGGATAATTATTACCCTTCTCATATACTCCTAAAAACATAAAATGCTTTTATGTTTGATTGTCTAAAATGCTTTTATGTTTTGAGGTGTAGTATATCCTAAAAACATAAAATGCTTCGACATCTCACTTCGAATCTCTTTCCCGCAGGTTGATTGTCTGTATTTTTCATCTTTTTTCCTTACTCGTTTCTTCTGCCTCAAGGTAGAGTTAATTATTAACACTTCATTCATTTGTTTCTCCCAAACAAGGTAAAATAATGTCTAACTACACTTACACTTCTTTTCCCTTACTAACACTTTCATTACTAACCCTCCTTAACACTCAATCCAAACAGGCCGTAAAACTTATTTGAGTGTCGCACATAATTGCAGGCAATTTTTATGTGGTTTTTTCCCATTTTAGATCTTAGGATGTTTCTACTTGGATTGATTTCAATCCAGATCAGACTTAGACACTTATAAATTACAAAGAGATAATGTATTTATCAAACTAAACCATATCAAACCAGACCACATCATAAAATTACAATCTAATTAAAACATCCTTAGATGAAATTACTTCACATATAATCCAACAAATGTTACTTATGGTATTTTTTTTACTTAGATTGAATTTTTTTAGATTAGTATGATCAAATATAAACTAGTGTAATCCAATAAATGTTTGTTTTATGTGAATTGTACTATGGAAATTGTCCTAAATAGAAATAAAAGAAGATTTGCAATTTTAGTTCTGTAACTTTTGGCTGTTAAAGTTATTAGTCCTGTAACTTTTAGTCACATGCAAATTTTTGGTCCTATAACTAATAAATATTTTCAATTTAAGGACTTTTCCACCGGAAAGTACACTTTCTGGTAGAAAAATCTGACGCTGACGACATCTTTTTCCGTATACTATCGCTGAAAAGTGTACTTTTCAGATCAAATGTCCTTAAATTGCAAATATTAATTAGTTACAGAACCAAATTTGCAAGTGATTAAAGTTATGAGACTAATAATGAAAACGTCCGAAAGTTACGAGACAAAAATTGCAAATTTCTCAGGAATAAAAACGTTTTAGAATTCTAAAATATGATTAATATATATTTTTCTTCTCTAAAAAAGAGTCGTTACTGTCATGATTAACAATTACTACTATTAATGATAGTAAGTATTGTCATGTTAATGACTTGTACCATGATTTTAAATTGCGACAACGGTTGGGGTTATTGCGGTTGCGGCTAATGCGGTCGTTGTGATGCATATTGCAGCCGCTACAGTGTGAAATATTTCTAATAAGTTGAGTTATAATTACCCAAATTGGAGTAAAACATAAGAGATGTTCACAAAAAGGAATAGTAGTATTAAAATGGCCAAAATAGGAGTTTTTTGTGATTGGACAAAAATGCCCCTGCCACCGCCAGACTTTGTCAGCCGCCCAGAATATCCCAGCCGCCGTTTGCCCGCCGCCGGAGTTCCGGTGGGAGAAAAAGTTCACATTTTTTTGCCCCAACTCTTCTACCGCCGCTGGCACAGATCACTGGAGCTCCGCTGCCGCCACCGGACTTCCCCTCCACCAACGGACTGCCCTTGTTGTCAAAGGGAACTAGGGGAGAAATTACTTAAATAGATTAGGGGTATTTGAGGTAGAAGTTTAAGGTTTACTCCTATTTAGAGATGTTAGGGGTTAACTCATATTTAGGCAAAAATGTTAAGTTTTACTCGTCATTTACTTTTTCAAGTTTGCACAAAATAGGAATAAATGATTTTTTTGTATTTTTTAACAAATCTTTTTTTTAAGAAAACAAATCTTCTATAATTACATTTAACATAATTTTTTTATTTGATTTAGTGGTTGATAAAATTAATAGAAGTATTATGAATACTCCTTTGGAATATTTATCATAGCGATTAAAACATTCATAGATTTCTAATACCAAGTACCATCCTCCATATCGTATTAGTTGCAACATTGAAATTTATACACTATTCATGTACTCTATTTTGACTATATTTTATTTTTTATTAATATATGTGAATTAATATTTTTGAAAAATATTGTTGAATTCATCTCATTACAAAGTTTCATAATTTGATTTTTAAAATGCTTTTATTAATAGAGAATTAAATATAATTACGGTCAAAGATGTGCGTTAGCAAATGCGAAAAAGGGGATGTCGCAACTAAAAAAAGAACGTTTGGCTAACAAATTGAAGCATGTCTAAGTTTGAGTGACAACTAAACTGAGAGAGAAAAAGTAGCATCAATACATATATCATACCTGAAAACATCATTACGTTTGGAAGAAGAAGAAAAAACCGTTTAATCATATTTTAAGAATAACCACTTCTTTTGGTGATAACCCTGGTAGTTTTCTCTACTCTTTTAAGCACCTATATCACTATATGTAAATATGAAATCAACCAACAAGAATATGAAGATTAAAAATGAATAATGATTAAAAAGATCAGTAAATTAAATAATTATTGCAAACACAATAATAGAGTGTTTAGTGACTCAGTTTAGTAACTCTTGTGGAATTACGTAATAATAAGAAAAAGTAAGGTTGTAGTTACTTTTTCGGTTGTATTGGCTGACGTTACGGTAGAGGAACCTTTTAACTATATTTTTCATACTATTGTTTCTTGATTTTATTAATAAAATATATTTTAAATTTAATTTTCTCATAAATTAGCTAGTCACTTTTGCCAAAATTTCATAAATTTCAGCAAAATCAGTCAATACAGCCAATTTGGGTATTACTAAAAGGAGGAAACTTCATGTCAGGCCGGCCTGACTGGGGCAGCCGTCCGGCCGAGCCCGTTCCAGGGTCTTCCCGGTGGAATTTTTCGATGAATTTTTTGTAGCATATTTCTCATCATGTCTAGTTTATCCATACCAAATTGCAGCTAAAACTTCAATCGGGAAGACAATCAAATGATTTTCTAAAAAATATTGCGTTGTTT